GGGATCATTGAGCATGGTTCTCTCTTTCTACATCTGAGCACTCTGAGCTGCACAGAACTCAAGTAGTTTGACCAAGGAAATACAAATTAGTGTAATAAAGTATAATACAGCCAGGCACTCAAAGGAGTCTTCCACTTAGGCTATTGTGGATTAATTACAAAAAAACGAATAGAAGTATTGGGCCCCTTTTGGGTGACTTACTGAAATCTGATGATTTAAAAACTAAACATCTATTAAGCATTAGCATGAGTTTACTTCCATTTCTGTAGTTTGCTTGCCACTATACTGAATGAATTAAATAGACGCGGTCAATCAACTGAACTTCCTTTGAATTAAATGAATTGAAATCTAGGCAGTGAGATAGAAGGAAATATACACAGAGACAAAAATTGGGAACAAAAAAACAAAAATAAAACAAGTCACTCCATTTTGAATCGTGCTGTCTGAGCGCCGCTTCTCTTTTCTCTCTCAGACGTCTATTGATAAAGGCAGCTGTGTTCTGGTCCCCGGTTTTCCTGGCCCCCCAGCATTCATGGTCGTTGGCTCGTGTTAGTCCTTGTCTTAGCAGGAAGATGGGAGAAAAGCCAGTTATTTGGGTCCTTCAGTTTTGCTCTTTCATTTCTGTTAGACGGCGTACCACGGGAGGGGTCCGTGCAATCATCATGCCTCTATCTATACTCTTTTCAAAACATTTCTATTGAAAGGCTTTTTAGATATTAAATATTCTTTCTTGGCTGGTGCCACACATGTTTGAATTCCCAGAGGCAGCTTGACATTCCCAAATCATGCATTGCATTATGAGAATCTGGATTCGACAACCACTTTAATTGAATTTCCTTTCAATGGCTGCGGACTTGTTTTAATTAATAAAAGGAGCTACACTGTAGTGAGTTATTGACATGTGCCAGTGGCGATGTAACTTATGTACGTTCTCTCATTTAATCTTAGCCATGCCTTTATGAAGTAGACACTGTGATGGAATCCCACAAAGTCTCGCAATGTAATAACGACAGACATAGGGCCAAAGTTTTGCCTGTGGGACGTTCTGCCTCGTGAGTCTGTTCCCTCCGTGCTTTGTACTTGTCCCCCAGAGCTCAGAGCATGATGATTTCCACATAGTGAAATTCTCAGCAAAAGTTGAATTAAATGTACTGGCAGCCCATTCTCAGTGCTCAGTTAGAGTCAGAAATTAAGAAATCATCATTTTCACAGTAAAAGAATAAATGTAATCCTAAGACAATAATTTGATTATGATTTTTTGCCATGAAGGAATAATCTGATAATTCATATTCTGTATCTTATATGCTACACAAACATTTTGAACTTTCATAAATTATTAACCTTGACCTTTGTGATATTCAGGAAACATTAAAATGTGAAAATACAATAACGTGTTCAATAACTCTACATGATATGGTGAAGTGAGTGAAATGTGATGAGTTGCTTTTACTTGGAAAAGCATAATATTATTCTGTTTTAACTCAAGGGTGTTAACATTTTCAGTGTTAGCATTAATTTGTTTTCTTTGATCATTCAATTATTACATTCATTTTTCTTAGCCAAACGGAAAAACATCCCAATTGCCAAAGCTAATGATGTGTTCATAGGGTCTTAAAGCATATATCTCATTAGGTTTCTGTTTGTCTGCTGGTAAAAGTTTATGAAGTCAGTATTTGCTTTTCTTGGGGGAATTTTGCTTATATATTTTAAAGATACATTTATCATTTCCTTCAGGTGATTTGTGCCAATATCTGTCCTTCATTACCATAGCAACAAAAGTTTTCCTTTCGCAGCTGTAAGCAGTTCAGATAGATGTTGTCTGCTCTTCCAAAACATGAATAGAATACCTGCTTCATGTTTATACAAAAAAAATTTTTAAATTGAAAAGATTTTTAAATTACAATTGGCATTCGATATTATTTAATATTTGTTTCAGATGTAAAAAAAATATTTTAGTCTTTGAAAAGAGCATGTCTTTCCAAAGTCTATGAATTAATGACACTTGTTTTAGACTTTTTAAAATTTTTGACTTGAACTCTGGTGCTAAGCGTCCTCTTGAAGTAATTTTGCTGTTGCAATTGTTCTCATAGTTAAGCAAGTAAAAATAGCCATTAGTGATGCCAACTATAGTATTTCTAAGAAGGCATAGACCTGAGTGTCATTTCCTTTTGCAATACTCTCCTATCCTCTCCATCCCAGTGGAGCCTTATTTTATAACTAGAGGCTCGATGCACGAAATTCGTGCCAGGGGCTCGGCCCTCGCAGCCCCAGCTTCATCTGGAAGGTTGTCCAGAAGGCCGTCTGGACGGTCATTCTGCTGTTTGGTCTAATTAGTATATACCTCTTTATTATATAGGATGGTTGGAGAACACTGAGATTCTGTTAGATTCTTTCATAGTGGATAGATCTCCCATAGCCAAATGCTGTGAAGAAGCAACTTTGACACACTTGTTTTTGTTCTGATATATACGGAAAAGTGATAACAAAATGCTTAGATTTGAATTTCATACTTTCCCGTGGCTTTCAAATACATTTTCTCCTAATTTGGTTTCATAGCACTCTGCTGGTAGGTGCCAACCCATTTTAAAGAAGACACAAAAATTTGGAGACTTGAATTGCAAGTCTGAGGTCATCTGGCTGGTAGAGTAAGAAATTAAACTTGGGCGTTCTGATCAGAAGCCTGTTACAGTTTCACGTCACTCTCCATGGAGAGATGCCACAGAAAGGGGAAACAATGGAGTAAACATCTAGACCTAAAGCAATTGAAAGTACAAGGTGCAGTGGCACCCCATGTTCATTTAAAAAGCTTCTATTTTTAAAAATATGTGTGATTATTATATAATATGTATGATATAAATGGGTGGCAAAGTAGGTTTACATTTGTATGTAAAACAGTTTATTTTTGTATTATTATTTAGTTAATTATTGTACTATTTATTACTATTCTTAACCTATTTTTGCCTACTCCTGTATTCATTATATAATATACCTGCAGAATATTATATACTCTTTCTATATATAATATACCTTATGTATATTATATATACTACATTATATATATATATATATATACACACACACATACATACATACTAGGGGCCTGGTGCACAAAATTCGTGCACTGGGGTGGGGGGTGTCCCTCAGCCCAGCCTGTCCCCTCTCACATACTGGGAGCCCTCAGGGGATGTCCTATGCTTAGGCCTGGCCTGCTCCCTGCTCCCCTTGGGGAGCAGGCTTAAGCCGCAGTCTGGCCTCCCTTTGTGGGAGGTGACTGGGCTGATCAGGGGAAGGAACCAGCCCCATAACCCCGCTGCTGCAGCCACTGCCAGTCACCGCAGCCAGCAAGGTTTTTTTCATCAATACGGACTCCAGTCCCATCACCATGAAAAAATGAGAACTTTTTTTAGGCATTTTCAAGATGTGTCTTTCATAATAATAATAATTTCTTTATTATTTTTTTACCCTTACCTGAGGATATTCTTTCATTGATTTTTAGAGAATGTGAAAGAGAAAGGGAAAGACAGAGAGAAACATCACAATGAGAGGAACACTTTGATTGGTTGCTACCTGCATGCCCTGTCAGGGGACCCCCAGACCCCTCTGATTGCTGGCTCTGCCCCTGGCCCAGGCCGGATGCCTCTGGCCCAGGCATCAGGCTTGGGCAGGGGACCCCCAGACCCCTCCGATTGCCGGCTCCGCCCCCATCCAGGCCAGAGGTGTTGACCCCATCACCCTCTGATCGCCGGATTGGCCCCTTGCCCAGGCCTGATGCCTCCGCCAGAGGTGTCAGGCCTGGGCAGGGGACCCCCATCTCCCCCCGATCACGGCTTCTGGGGCTAGCCTGCGGCCCAGGATGGTGGCTTGCACTGGCGGCTGCGCAGGGCCTATGAGGGGGTTGGGGCGCCGCCCTCTATCACCCACAGAGCAGGGCGGATCAGGGGGTTGGGGCGCCACCCGCTATCACAGAGCAGGGCCAATCAGGGGGTTGGGGCGCTGCACCCTGTCACACACAGAGCAGGGCAGATCAGGGGGCTTGGGCACTGCCCCCTGTCACGCTGATCCTGGTGCCGGGAAGCCTCACGGCTCCGCTGATCCCGGTGCTGGGAGGCATATTACCCTTTTATTTATATAGGATAGAGGCCTGTTGCATGGGTGGGGGCTGGCTGGTTTGCCCTGAAGGGTGTCCAAGATCAGGGTAGGGGTCCCACTAGGGTGCCTAGCCAGCCTGGGTGAGGCCTCATGGCTGTTTTCAGGCTGGTCAAGTCCCCCAGTGGGGACCCTCACTCCATAGGGGTGTGGGCAGCCTGGGTGAGGGCTGAGGGCCGTCTTTAGGCTGGCCACACTCCCTGCAAGGTGGAGGTCCCTACTGGGGTGCCTGGCCAACCTGGGTGAGGGGCTAAGGGCAATTTTCAGGCTGGCCACAGGCCCTTCAGGGTGGTGGGGGCCCCCACTGGGGTGCCTGGACAGCCTGGGTGAGGGACTAATGGCCATTTTCAGGCTGGTCACACCCGCGGGCTTGAAGCAGGTATCTGGGATTTATTTAACTTCTATAATTGAAACTTTGTTGCCTTGGTCCCACTCAAAGCCTGGGTTCCCCTGGCAACCCATGTTCCCAGCCTCTCCTTGAGTGGAGGCCACACTGGCTGGAAGAGGGTATCTGGGATTTATTTATCTTCTATAATTGAAACTTTGTAGCCGTAAGTGGAGCTCAGGGCCGGCAGGGCAGGCAGGAAGCTTGGCTTCCACCATCACCGGGGCAACCAAGCCTCCTGCTTGCTCCAGCTTCGTGGCCGCCGCCATCTTTGTGATGGATTGATGGTTAATTTGCATATTACTATTTTATTTGATAGGATATCTTAGATTATCAAAATTTTCTAATTAGGAGTTTTTAGGTGTGACAAAGAGAATCTAAAGGAATCTTTCAAATAGGGCACCTTGGAAATGATAGAGAGACAAATTGGGATGCTGTTTGAACATATGAACTATTTACTTTGTTACAGCTGCAAACCTTTTTTGAGACATTCCTGAGGGCCAGTTCGCCTCTCCAGGCTTTGGATAACATGAAGGAAGCAATCAGCAAACTCCTGCTGGCAGCCGAAGCTTTCAGCCCAACGTCTCCTCTGGGACCGAAGGCCTTCCACAGGTGAAAGCAAAGTCTGATGTTAAAAAAAGGAAAAACCCTACCTGCTACAAACTGATTGTTAGTGAAAATATAACCTAATTATCACATGTAGGTGCTTCTTGGAAAACATTCTGCTTCCTTGTTTATAGATCCTAAACATCAGAGCACATTGCAGACTCATCCGGATCTAAATAGTGGGTGACAAGAAGTAAAGCAACGTTACTTAAACTAATTTTTTAAATTGCAGCCCCTTTCAAGCTTAGCTATTTCTATCATATACTTACCATTGACTAGATATATTTTTTCTTACAGGCTTTTATGAACAAAATTCAATAACTCCTCTGTCCATATCTCAGTCAACTTGAATATCATCTAATGCCTTTTTCCTAGGGAAATGTTAAAGCTAGTATGCCGGAAGAGGGGGTGACTCCATTAAGCATTATCATGCTTTGTACATGAATGAGACTATTTAGGTTTTCACAGTGTAACTTCATTGTTTAGTTTAATGTGCGATGAATACTTTAGATATATTTGTATTTTCTGTAAGAAACAAAACAGATTCCAAATCCAAAATGAAATTGTAAGCAATCTTAGATGATCCAAAAACTGCTCTTTTTAATTCTTACAGACCTTGAAATGTAACTAGAGTAACTATTCATAATGTAACTCCAAAGAATAGGTTAAATGCAGCAGATAGAATGTAATGTGTTCCCTGCGGTTTTATTTCAGATGCAGCTTATGTTTTCAACTTTTCACTTTTGACATTGGTTATGGCAGTTTCACATCCCCGATGGTGCTCCAGGTGAGTGTGCCAAAGGGCTGCATGAGCTTCACTTTTTGCTGAACGGTGTGTGTGTGTGTGTGTGTGTGTGTGTGTGTGTGTGTGATTTTCATTCATAGTAAGGAGTCAATAAATAGCAACTTCATTAAAGTCACTACTTACGCTTATGGTGGTTCAGAGAATTAACTAATATGTGGAGAGCCTGTGATTTGAGTTCCAGTTCCAACTATGCATCCTACAGAACAAGCATCGATTTTCCTATGGTTCACAAACTGCTTAGGAAAGAAATAGGGTATAATGCTAAGTATGTGGAATGCAGAAAAGCAGACATTTAGACAATAGAAACTAGCAGATTACCAAGCTTATTCACACGGGTTTGTAAGAAAAAGGTATCTCATTCGTTCCATATTTACTTTAAAATTGGCCTGTATTTTAATGTAAAAGATCATAGAAATGATCTTTGCATATATGATGTTGCTAGTATAAATATGTATAAGTTGAAGAGTTTTTATATATTCTTATTCTTATAATTTCTCTCAAATCAAATGAACTCATTCAGATAATTTCCTCTAAGATATTTTTAATCTAAAATAGCCATTAGTGAAAAAAGAATTGGTTGAATTCATCTATAGAAAGCTTTATTTTGGGATGTGGAATGGGAAAGCAGGAAGAGGAACAAAATAAAATTACATGCAACCAGAATTCAATTTTATATTGCATTGATTGATTTTCAAGCTTCTATATTGGGAGAATGATTACATTATATGTGACATTTGGTTGAATAGGTCAAAGATTTATCCATAAAATTTTAAAACTATGAATTTATGTATTATAATGGTCATTCAACATTTTACACAGATCTAATAGTTTGTTATTCTCTTTGAAATGTATTGTTCAGAAATGTTATATGTAATCTTCCATGCACACAAGTTCTTCAACAATGGTTTTAAGCTAAGCTAATGTGACTTTATAATCCATTAGTTAATTTTATCACAAAGAATTGTATCTTGGAAAGAATATTACAGTTTATGAAACTGTTGACCTCCAAAAAGACCACTAGATGTCAGTTCTGATCTGCAATCCAACAGGAAATGAATCATGTCTTAGAAGTGACACTGCAGTAAAAGTAAGTCAATGAAATATATTTTCTGTGCTTTTCCTTTCTCACAGGTGCATGGGCATTTGCATTTTCAAGATGACGATAATATGGATTTTGAGGACCAAAACACAGAAGAATTTCTTTTAAAAGACACTTTCAATTTTCTCTTCTCGAATGAATCTTCACTTTCCATATTCTCTGAGATATTTCACAGACTCTACAGATCAGCTGTATCCAAGGTAAGTGCATATTTTTATACTGGAAAATATTTTTTTCCAAGTCATTCTTTACAAGATTCTATTTTCTTTATGGTGTAATTAAGCAACTTGATAATTCATTTGAAATGAATTTGTATCAGTTATATTACACTTCTTAGTATTTTTATCCATCTGAGGACCAATATTATTTTTGTGTCAGCTAAGTATGTGACTAATTATGATAAAGTTATGAATTGAAATGAAGAAAAGTAGTTCCTAATTCATAAAGAACACTTGCAGATATTATGACAAATACATATTATATGTTATAGAATAAAAGGAGTACCATAACTTTTTGGAGTCAGTCTAGAAAGCAATGATTGTTCCAGGTTGGCATCAAGGGCCTTGAGTTATATTAATTTTTTGAAACATTCACACCTGGTTAACAGATTAGAAAGTGATGATTAGGATATAATACGTCATAGTGCATTGATTAGTTTTTATGGAATGTAAATAGAAGTGTTCTAGGGGCCTCAGAAATATCTGTACAGATTACTAGGTATGTTACCATTCTCTATATGTTGCTGCTGCATTCTCTAGTACCTGGAGGCTAAAGGGGACTCTTTCTGCGTTCCCACAATGCCCCACACCTTCTGCCTCTTGGGTTCCTCTCCCCAGCCTTACTAACAGAGCGATTTCATTCAGGTTCTCTTTGTCAAACATGAAGTTCTCTTACATGCAGACACCATTGTCATGGGTTGAAGTTATAATGTATTAGTTAGCATTCATTAGCCCAGCTGTTTATTTACAGAGTGCAAAATTTCATTGGTTTGTGAAGTGCGCCATAGCAAATGCTTAAGGGTTGCTTTTTCCCTCCTTTTTATAGGGTGAAAACTACAAAAAGGAACTGAATCGATGCCTTTCTTTAGAGGAGATTAATTCAATTATGACTTTCATAAAGGAACTTGGGAGCTTGGGGCAATTCCAACTGGTAAAACAAAAGTGCCATTTGATTCATCTTGATTACTGAGGTTATAGTAAATCAGCCATAAACTGCTTGCTTATGATTTTAACTTAGGTGAATATATTTCTTTAAGGAACAGAAATCTTTGTAAACTCCTTTCTTCTGTTCAGAGATATATGAAGATGAGAAGAGCCCATATTCTTGAAGAGTTTATAAATAATGTCTCATTAAAGCTAAAAAATATGAGGTTGTTAAAGCTGCCAGGATTTGACAGTTTTTAAGGAGAAAATATCCAAATTTCTAAAGAAGTTTTCCTTTTAGCTTTGGGATATTATCATGTGACCAAAATTTTTTCTGCTTATGCCCTTGTTATGTAAAATCAAATATTATTGAATATAATAATATTTAGGAAAACCATCTAAGTCTTAATTTGTTATAACTCACCACCAAAATAAGAAAATTTAAAGTAAGAAAGAAAATCTACACTAATAAACGAGAAAGATGCAAATTGATTGTTCCTTCACAACACCTACCAGCCAATCAGGAGTGGGCATGCAAATTAATCCAACAAAGATGGTAGGTTAATTTGCCATATGCAGGTGCTGAGTGGCTGGGGGTGATGCGGAACACCTCAGCCACTCCGGGCCTCTGGGCAGCATGGGAAGGCAGAAAGGTGGCTCCAGGACAGAGCGAAGGCGGTGCCAGCAACCAGGGGAAGGAAGGCCCATTCTTGCACGAATCTTCATGCATCGGGCCTCCAGTAATTAAATAATAGTAATAACTTTTACTAGATTCAGCCTCAAAAATACCATGTTTTCCTATGTATTTTCTTGGGTTCTATTAATTTATTGAAGGATAATTTATACGTATATGAGCATTCTCATTACTTGCTTTGTTTCTAGTTCTGCCACTTGTACAGATAGATTATAATGAATTTGTATTTTTCTGCCTAAGATGTTTATATAAACCATTTTAACACAGCACTTTTAAAAATCCACTGATAATATGTTATTAATGTGTTTGGATCAAATATTTATTTCTTACTATAAGAAATCATGTATTCATATGCTACTTGTATGAGTTATAACCAATTTTCTATTTGCTTTTATAATTTAGCCCCATATGTTGGAGGGTTCAAAGTAAGCTTATTGCCCCAAAGATAATTAAATGCATGGATCATCGCTTCTCGGCCTTTTGGCTAAGATCAAGTGTAAATGCATGGATCATCACTTTAATTATTGGAAACATAGTATTACACTCAGACAGTTTGGCTTCATACTATACAAAGATAATCAGAGACCTGGTCTCATTCTTCAGGAATTCATCACTTAAGATGTTGTGAATGTCAAGAACATCTCTTGGCAGAATGTGGGGAAGAACTAATGAATTACCTCACAGGAGAAAGGGCACACAGCGATTTATATACTGTGAGAGTTGAAAGAGAATGCAGATATTTTTTGGTAGGATTAATATCTCTCACTTCGATATAACTCACTTGTAACACAAGAGGATTCCTACTCATTCTTCCTGCTGCCTGACCCACCCTGTTACTCAGCTGTTTTCAGGTATCTGTAGGAAGGAGAAATCTATTTAAATTCAATGAAAAGAGAACAAAAACTCACCCCATTTGGAAATAGGATCATCAAAAAAATGAGAGCCATATTAAAAGTGGCATTTACCTTGACAACTACACAGAAAATTACATTATGGTGCTGAAAATGGATTTTCAATTAATACTGATTTTTTAAAATATCTGAATATAAACTACTTTCTTAGTAATACTACCTTTAAATTTATTGTCTACCACTTATTCTGATATTCTGTCTTTGAATATTCCTTCTCAGCTCTTTCCATCAACTTCTCCCGGAATTCAGTCTTGGATGCGTGAATTTTACGACACTGCAAATCCTATGGGAAAAGCTCGTTCAGTTCTGACCCAACACTTCTCTCTTTTAAATGTTTTTGAGCAATTTCAGCTCCTGAATAAAAAGGCACAGTTACATCCATTGGAATGGTAAGAGAGCCACAAACTTGAATTGTGCAATTCGAAAAAAATCTCTAGTCTAAAGATTGATTTCAAAGGCTTTGCCTAAATTAAAGAAAGCAACAAAAACAAGTGTGTCCAAAAATTCATGCTCTGGGAAATAAGCTTCTTGAAATCATTGAAACCATAATGATTCCAGTGGTCTTCAAACCCTGTAACAAAAATATACCCAACAGGGTTTCAAACCAACTGAACTTGACTCCACTAAAAAGTAATGCTTACAGTTAAAAGTTTCGATCTAATTTCATTTCATAATATATGTCCTTGAGCTATGGGAACATCAGGCAGAAAGAACTGGGTGAGATTTGTTTTATGAACTGTCAGTCAGAATTAGCCCAAGATGGTGTACGCATTTATTTAGCTGGTTTTTGGGGTGTGACTTTTTTCTGGGCAAAACCTATCCAAATTTATAAAAATGTCCGTTTCTGCCACAAAATTTTTTTAGAAGGTAGAACCTCAGAGGGAAATAATTGGTTGGGAGAAACCTTTCTTGGTCCCCCCATTTTCACTTCCATTCTAATGAAGGAGTGAGAGGGAAGATGGACAGGGTGAACATATTAACACCTTCTGTCGCTGGCAAATAGGGCAGTGCCCAAGGCCTTAGCTAGGTCTGCTTCTCTTCAAATGGTAGAATGACGGAAGATTTGGCTTTTCTATGGCCAGGAAGACAGAAGTAAGCCTACGCCTCTGGGGAGATGAAAGAGGAAGGCCATGGTAGTCATTGGTCTCTTGCTGTCGCCCTCAGGAACGACATCTAATTAGACTTGGACTTCATTTCCTTCTGCCTCCGGAGCTAGAGGAAGCAATTCTATAAGAAGCTAGCTGTCTTTTCTGTAATTCAAAAATACAAATAAGTATATATTTGAAGAATTCTTAAGACCGCTCTCAGGATAAGAAATCACTTTAGTTGTCACAGCTTTATGAAGTTGGCCTTATTCCCCCAATACTTAGAAGTAGTAGGCCTGACAGAAGGTTTTGCTTCTTTGAGAGTTAGGTTTTAAATAGTATAGCTTGGTTCCCCATTGTTGGTTCCTTGCACTCACTGAAATCACCCAAAATGTCTCCTTTGTCATTGTCGATGGGGGAAGAGCAGACTTGATTGATCAAGAAGCCTATTTAAGTACTGTTCCTTATGTTCCCTTGAGTTACGCAAGCTTTGGAAAAGTGTTTCCCAATAAGTGGGGTTTTTTTGTTCAAGTTCCACATATGTTGTAAAGTTAACCAATGAAGTTACCTTAAATTCAGAATATTGCGCCCTAACTGTAACCCTAATCTAACCCTAGCCCTAACCGTAATTGGTTCCCTTTCAAAGAGGGAAGTTACTAATTGCCGCTGTTGAGTGCAGTTGGCAAAGGTCAGAACTTTTTGAACCAGACAGACTGAAAAATCCCAACTTTGGAGTATATTAATTTCAGCAGGTAAGTTTTGACCCCCCTTAGACCCTTTCCCACATCTGTAAAATACGGATTGTACTACCTCCTAGGCATTACTTCAGAGGATTGCATAAGAGAACCTCCATGTACTGGTGCGTAGCATGCTGCGTTGCAGGCGAGTAGTAAACAGCAGTGTGCTTTCTTTTTTATGTTTCCATACAATCCATAGTTCACTTCAGCATCAGCAGTGGGGAAAATATTTTTTATAGGAAAAGCAAGATAACATGGACAGATTTATCGAAGTTAACACTGAGACGAGTAAACTTTAGATCTCTATCAGGAAGCAATTAGTAAATTGCTCTTAGAATAATTTAAAAAAGAATACTCAATTGTAATTATCTTGCAATTCACCTGTGAGCATATGTTTATTTAATTGTGATCCATGCTGTAGTAAAGGAGCATGTATATTATACACATTTTTGAGATGAGGAAACTAATGTCCTTTACTCAAGCCACACAACTAGTAGGAATAGAGGTGGCCTTCACAGGCATGGTAAGGTGCTTTGTTCCAGTGCATAAGGCAGGTAGACAGGACGGTGAGGTGAGGAGTAAGCATTCATCACGGTCCTTATCTTCACAATGGTCACCTCCAGATTTCTTTTCCTACAGAAAAAGCCAATTTCACATACCTATACTATCTGTGGGGATTATTGACTTCATCCTTTATTTGATGTTATTTTTATTGAATTTTTTGGGTTGACATTGGTTTACAAAACTGTAAGGTTTCAAGTGTACAACTCAACCAGACATCATCTGCATGTTGCATCATGTGCCCATCCAAGCAAAGTCCTTTTCCCCCATTTGCCCACCTCCACCCAGCCCCCACCCCTTTCCCTCTGGCTATCCCCACTCCGTTGTCTGTGTCTATGTATTATGTATAGATGTTTTGGGGCTAATCCCTTCAACTTTTTCATCCAGCCCTCCCTCCCCAGCCCTTTTGACAGCTGTCAGTCTGTTCCATGTATCCATGCCTCTGTTTCTGTTTTGTTTGAAATAAAGATCAACTGCCTATAGCAACAAGTTGAAAAGAGATGAAGTCAGAAAAGCAACAGTTTGGAAAAGTGACAGTTATGTCTGTGTCCTGAGGCTCAGAATACAGAAGTCCCGACAGAATTAGTATAAATCTGAACAGAATGTGCACTCTCTGCTAATTTTGACTTCACTTGAAATAGAGTTGCAAGTGTACTTTGCTCTATTCACATGCTTTCCATGAAAACTCACATTTTGAAAGCATCATTTATTCCCAAAATTAAATGAGAAGTCACCACAGGTTGCCTTAAAACATCTCATTCCATTAAAAGAGTAACTTTTCCAAAATTCGATTTGCATGCAGGTCAGGGTTGTATCTTTTATGAGCTTCACTTCGAGTTTTTGCTTCATTTGAGCTCAGAGATTCCTCAATTAAACGTATCTCACCCCATGCTTGCTTTATCTGTTTCTTAGTTCCTTGGGAGAAGGGAAATACAGTTGACCTTTGAACAACACTGGTTGGAACTGCACAGGCCCACTTATTTTTTTTTTCCAATAAAGACATTCAGTTGTTAGTATCCTTGGGTTTTGCATCTATAGATTCAATCAACCGTGGATCAAAAACAGCATTTTAAGACTCCCAGCCATGGATTCCTAACCGCAGATTGAAAATGTTATCTTCAATTGTGGTTGGTTGAATCCTTGGAGGCAAAAGGGCAACTGTAGGTAAGTTTTGGGAGAGTCAGGAGTTGTATGTGGATTTTCAATTGCACAGGGGGTTGAGCTCCTAACTTCTACATGGTTCAAGGGCGAATTGTATTTTAAAGTTAGTTGTAGACAGTATTTTTTTTTAAAAAAAAATTGTATTGATTTTTTTCAGGGAGGAAGGGAGAGGGACAGAGAGTCAGAAACATCACTGAGAGAGAAACATCGATCAGCCGCCTCCTGCACACCCTCCACCAGGGATGTGCCCTCGCCTCCTGCACACCCTCCACCGGGGATGTGCCCTCAACCACGGCACATGCCCCTGACCGGAATCAAACCTGGGACCCCTCAGTTCGAAGGCCGACGCTCCATCCACTGAGCCAAACCGGTCAGGGCTAGATTATTTTTTACTCCTAGTTACTTCATTTTACACACACACACACACACACACACACACACACACACACACAAATAAAATAAAATAAAGTGCAATAAAAGCATTACACATTAGGAATATTTTTAATTTCTAGATTCTTCTTAATTTCCTTATGTGATGTTTATATTTTGAAGGAATTGAGTATGGCTTATTCATGTCTTCCACAGATATTAATCAGCCCATATCTGGGATGATAAATATGTATAAAATGTAATTACACACAGAGCATTTGATTTAATTCTTATAGCATCCCTGTGAAGTTGGGCCAGTATTGTTATCTCTATTTTGTTGGAGTAGAAATGGAGGTTCACAACAAAGCACGGGAAAATCGAGTCACATCATGCCCAGTATTCTTTATTTCATGGCCAGCAATTTATCTGTCTGCAATTTAGATTATTTTGTTCCAAAATTTGAGGATTTAAGGGGCAATCTGGCTAAGCATTTACTTAGACAACAGAAAAATGAGGCAAACACACCAAGATATAACTGACCATGATCATTCACTCCTGTTGATCTGGGTTTAAGGATGGAAACCCTGGCATGCCTTTCTGCATGGTACACTTGTATTTCTTAGATTATATGTGTGTCTGTTAGGCTTTTTGCTTCAAGACTACAACTTCAGCCAAACAGATTCCCGTAAGAATGTGTGTTCCCGAATCACTTCTGTTGGGCCCCAGCTATCAGAGATTGCTCGCTTTTGGCCTGAAGAGTGACTTTTCCCCTGGTTTTCTTCAAATGCGCTTCTGCTGATTAGAGATGATGAGATTTCCACCCACCTCGTTTGAGACAAGCTTGCCAGTTTCAAGGAATGAAATCCAGAAAGTGTTTCTTTGTGTTCAGCAAAAAAAAAAAAAACTGTGCCCACACATTTAAAAAAAATAGTGTGTTTGATGTAATTTCTGTGATTTTGTTCATTTCATTGATAGAGTTGTTTGGCATTGCACTTGCAGGCATTCCTTCTCGGAGGATGAGAACATTAAAAAACCACAAGTGCCATTTGATGCAACTGAACATAAAAAAGGTAAAAGGATAGTCTCACACTTAATTGAACATTAAAAATTGGCATTGCATGGGCAAAACACACATAAAAATCATTTAGCTTCAGTGACAATCTAAAATGAAAATTAAACAAGGAAGTGCTGTTTCCTCATATTTGGAGGTATTTTCTTCTTAAAAATAATAGAGTTGGGGAGAATGAAGAGAAATAAATATTCTGATGCTACTGATAGGTGTATGAATCAGAACCTTTGGTAAAGGGCCATTTAACAACATATAAGAAAGCTTTAAAGTTATTCTTTTTTATAATATTTGTTAACTTTATTTTTTAATTGGTTTCAGAGAGAGGATGGGAGAGAGAAAGAGAGATAGAAACATCAATGAGAGAGAAACATCTATCAGCTGCCTCCTACATGCCCCCTACTGGGGATCAAACCCACAATTGGGCATGTACCCTGAACAGGAATCAACTGTGCCCTCCTGGTTCATGGGTCAACACTCAACCACTGAGCCACACCAACCGGGCAACTTATTATTATAGACCAGAAATTTCACTTCTGGATATTCATTTTAAGGAAATCATTTAAAATGTAGCCCTGACCAGTTTAGCTTAGTGGATAGAGCATCAGCCTGCGGACTCAAGGGTCCCAGGTTCGATTCCGGTCAAGGGCATGTACCTTGGTTGCGGGCACATCCCCAGTGGGGAGTGTGCAGGAGGCAGCTGATCGATGTTTCTCTCTCATCGATGTTTCTAACTCTCTATCCTTCTCCCTTCCTTTCTGTAAAAAATCAATAAAAAAATAAAATGTATACAAAATTAATTATAAAAATTACTAATAAAATAAATAAAAACCATCACTCTTGCAATCCTAGTGGATCAGATAAATAAAATAAACTGTAAGCATCCAATAAAATACTATAAATCCATTATAATATTGTGGGAGAATATTTATGACCTTAAATATATTTTTGATATATTGTTAAGTGCAAAAAAACAAGCAACATGAGCCTCAAGGAAAATTAATGGTGATTTTGATTTCATCTCTAGTATTTTATCTATAAATTCTAATTTTTTTCTTTCTTTTTGATTTGATTTGATTTTCTAATTTTTTCTTTCTGAAAAATGCTGAACTCTTGGTTACAAGAAAAGAAAATATTTGTGATTTTAAAAATAAAAAGTACCATGTTTACAATTTTTTAAAAATATTAAAGTTTTCTTACTACAAATCAAGGTTTAATCCAATACAGTGGTTCTGAATGTGTGGTCCCCAGACCAGCACCATCAGTATCACTGGGGAAACTTGAAAAATTCAGATCTATTGAATCAGAATCTCTGGGTATGAGACCCAGCATTCTGTGTTTAGCAAGCCTTTCCCATGAGGCACACCAAAGTCTGAAAATCGCTGCTTCAGTAGAATGAATCAGTAGGCCCAGTGAAGAACTGACGGATGAACTGAAATTCCATTCTACTCTCTCCCACCAGTTTGTGCTCTTTAAAATGAACGGTTTAAGCACTGTGTTTTTATTCACTCATCTCTACCATAAATACTTACTAAGAAGTATTTTAATTCAGAAACTTAGAGGAAGTGTCAATTGACCCAACTAGGATGTAATTGCTGTAATTCTAATAATTTGGGAAATAATGGCCATAGGATTATAGAACTAGAAGGAATCATGAGCAGTCACTGTGAGGCAATGAGTGGCATTTAGACAATGCATATTGCCCCCTTAATATTTCCCTATTTGAAATAACCATTCTTGTGAGATTTGAACCCAATAACTTGTTTTGTTTTACTGTGGTTTTCAGTTTAATTTACAAGTACTTTCTGATGTAATAATGTTAAATAATAAAATATGATTTATTAAACTATGCTGCGTTTGAGATTCCTGAATGTGTTTTTTAAATTTTGATTAAGTGTTCACTTTACATTTTTTAGTTGTGGTTCAACAAATTATGAATGCAACCATAGAAGTGCATTGCAGCAATGGTGAGTACCTGTGGGCGGTTTCAGCAGCACTAGCAGGCACAGCTCTGCTTCGAATAAATCATCACTTTATTTTGTTTATCTTTCTTCTAAATTTCTAATTTATCTTTATTGTTGAGAGTAATACAGATATGCCCTTCCCCCCACCCCCCATTGACCCCTTCCAGCCTACCTCCCCTCCCTGGACCTTTAACACATTGTGTCCATGGGTTATGCATATAAAGCCTTTGGTTAATCTCTTCCCACCCATCCACTCCCACCTTCCCTCTGATTCGACAGTCTGCCCCGTTTTTATGTCTCGGGATTTATTTTATCAGTTTAGTTTGTTTTTTAGATTCCTCATATGAGTGAGATCATGGGATACTTATCTGGCAAAATATTTGTGTATCTTTAGGCTCTTTGTTTAAGTAAAATTTCAGAAGATACGAGGTTTCTGAATGAGTCAATATCTATCACCTTTGCATAAAAATATTTTATGCTTATTTGTTTAAGGCCAGTATATTCCAAATTCATTTTGAGGGGCCCTGAGGGTGCGGCTTTTCCTGGAGGCTGCTCAAGTGGACAAGCTTAGCTCCTCTGCTTTATATAGACACTAGAGGCCCAATGCACGAAATTTGTGCAAGCGTAGGCCTTCCTCCCCCTGGCTGCTGGCACCAGCTTCCCTCTTGCACCTGGGACCTGGGCTTCCCTCGCAGCCCTGGCTTCAACCGGAAGGTCGTCTGGATGGACGTCCAGTCTAATTAGCATATTATATTTTTATTATTATAGAGCCTCTGGGCTGAAGAAGCATCAGGAAAGCCCTGTACCTCTTTGGTCTTCTACTTTCTCATTAATAAAATGAAGCAACTATATGAGATTCTCTCTCTCTCTCTCTCTCTCTTTTTATCAGTTCCCAGGCAACATGATGTAGATACTGTGAAAGTGTTAGATATGTTCTTCACCCTTTTCATGTTTTTTTGTTTGTTTGTTTGTTTTAAATATATTTTATTGGTTTTTTTACAGAGAAGAAGGGAGAGGGATAGAGAGTTAGAAACATCGATCAGAAAGAAACATCGATCAGCTGCCTCCTGCACACTCCCTACTGGGGATGTGCCCGCAACCAAGGTACATGCCCTTGACCAGAATCGAACCTGGGACCCTTGAGTCTGCAGGCTGACGCTCTATCCACTGAGCCAAACCGGTTAGGGCCCTTTTCATGTTTTTGTGCCAATAAAAATAAGTCTGACCTGTGTCTTCATAATTAATCTTCCTACTTTCGTGGCATGAGATTTTAAAGATAACTTAATAATGCCTCAGGGCAGGTGGGGTTATATTTCAGACTCTAGGGTGTTCTCGTGTTTAGTATGAGTTATGATTATCTCTCAAGAGGGCAATAAAAGTCTGTGGTTAGGAGAAACACATTAAAAGCAACCAAGTCTTCAAACAGCTTTTCCATGTGGACTTGCCAAGTACATGACGCAGCCTGCTACCATCCTGGGTCCCCGCAGACTCAGGTGAGCAGGCCAGCGACAAGCCGGGACTGGGCTGGAGAGGATGCCAAGGCAACACCACGTGTTTGTAGGCAGCGACGCGGATGATTCCGTGGAATGTGACGTCAGGCCTAAGTCAGCTTGCAAGCAGGGCTTAACGATGCAGCACGGAAGCCAGAGGTGAAGTTTCCGCTGAAACCCCAAACAGGGGCTTGGTAACATCTTGCTTAAACGTAAGATTCTGCATTTTATCTCCCCGAGGGCTGTTTCAGTGCTGCAATGGGAGAGCCTCATTGGACACTTCCACTGTTAAGTGACGGTGTCAACTACAGAGAAATGAACTCTCCACAACTGATAAAAATATTTATTAAAGTGAAGTACACCTCCTATGATTATTATTTTGAAGAAAAAAAAAAAACACTTTCCATTTTGTTATTTACTTAACTGGTCTGAGCATAGGAGGGCGTGCAAGCGTTTAAATGCCCTTCGGGCCCAGGAAATGGCCTTTCCTACCACTGAGCGCAGCTGGTTGGAAGGGGCATGTTGGGTCACTGTCTCCACCTCATCAGCCTCATGACCTACGATAGCCTGCTTTTCCTGTGCTGACCTCGGTGCCTTGAACACAGACTATGCCCGAAAACATTCTTTGAAGAAAAAATGCATTCTTTTTTTTTTTTTTTTTACTTTTTATTGATGAAGGTATTACAAATGTGTCTTTATCCCCCCATTGTCCCCTCATCCCCCCAGTCTTGCCCTCACCCTCACGCCCTGTTGTCTGTGTCCATCGCTTATGCTTATATGCATGCGTACGAGTCCTTTGGTTGATCTTTCTTTCCCCTTACTCCCACCCTCCCCTGCCTTCCCTCTCAGGTTTGAGCATCTGATCGATGTTCCTCTGTCTTTAAATAATGTGTCTTTATCCCCCCATTGTCCCCTCATCCCCCCAGTCTTGCCCTCACCCTCACGCCCTGTTGTCTGTGTCCATCGCTTATGCTTATATGCATGCGTACGAGTCCTTTGGTTGATCTTTCTTTCCCCTTACTCCCACCCTCCCCTGCCTTCCCTCTCAGGTTTGAGCATCTGATCGATGCTTCTCTGTCTTTAAAACTGTAAATGCATTCTTAACAAGCGGTTTAATTAGAATACAAAGGTATGGGCCTTTTCAAGATGAAATCTAACAACATAATCTCACCCTCATTCTATTATGTTTTAATTTATTATAAAATATTTAGGAGCTGGTGTGATCATCAAAATTATGGTGCAATCCACCTGCATCTATCAGCCAGATAGAATTTTTGTGTAACAAATAAAATTAATCAGGCTGGCAGTTTACTCAATTCACTGACTTCCTCAACTAAATTGACTAGTGTGTTTTTTTTTTCTTTAAGAGTTTTTCCTACAATAAAATTACAATATATCAGTTGCATTGTAAATGGTCCTAATTTATACCTGAATAGATTTTTCTTCTACTGCCTGAGGAAACCATAGAGTGTAGGTCAGAAATGTACAGATATTTTCATTTTCATCATTTTAATGAACAATGGGAGTTCTACTGTGCCCTAGTTCTCAGAACTAGAATAACGTATTCCTAAGGCTAGTGGTACCCATCACCGTGGATTTGGTGGTGCCTCTCCATGCCTGTCAAAGAGATAAAAAATGTTGGTACTGTTGAAGCACAAATCCAGGATAGAAGGGGAGATGCAACAGCAGGAAAGGCAAGGAAGAGATTGTGAAATGCCTCGCCTGCTTCATTAGGGGCTTGAGCTGGATTCTGGAGGTGATGAGAAAACATTAAAACACTGGAGACAAATCATCAAATTTGATGTTAAGAAATTCATTGTATAAGCATAAGTGATGGATGTGGACAACAGGGGGTGAGGGTGAGGGCAGGATTGGGAGTATGAGAGGACATTGGGGGGATAAGGACACATTTGTAATATCTTAATCAATAAAGGGGGAAAAATAACAACAACAAAAAAGAAATTCATTGTGATCGCCATGTAAAAATGGAGTTTAACCGTGACAGTTAATAAGATAATCATTTTTTTAAGTTCAGTTGTATAACTCCCTGCAGTGAATTCTATTATAACATTCTTTAAAATGGCTTAGAATCAATGGTATGAAGTAATATGTAAATTATCGAGTAGGATTGAGCAGAAAATAGCATCTCCTTCTTACACTTTTTACATTTGCACTTGGATTGACTTGGAAGTGATATAACCCAGGTGAAAAATGCCAAATGAAAATTGTTGGGGGGGGAGATAATTGGTACTATTATCATATGTACTTTCTTAGGTTGAGGTGCCTGGGATAGGGAGGGGGGCAGGGACCTCTGTGATATTTGGTCTAAGATCTGAGTGTTTGGTATAAGATTAGAGTACACATTCTTTGCTCCATCCTGCTGCCTACAAGCTACTTTATCAATCCAATGGCAGTTTAATGACACTTCCTGGTAAGACATTCTCCTCTATCCCTGCTGCGTCTCTTCTGTCACCACTCCACAGAGTCATCACCCCAGATTCACTGTTGCTTAGCATATGCAGTAAATGCCATGAACATGTTATCAATGCACTGGACAGACATTTTCCTACCTCCTGTGCCTTTAAAGCTTAAAGGACTGAACAAAATATATGATCTCCGTGACACCAAGTCAAGTCAATAGCTGTTATATGAGCCAAACTCTACAAAATTTGACAAATAGCAGTCACAAATCCACGCTGACCAATTTGTCTTTTCCTTTTCATTTTAAAAAACAACAACACAGATGAAGACATACAATGTCATATCAAGCAGATCTTCACACAGCCACATTTGGAACTAAGTCCGGAATTTAACCCGAAGATCAAAGATTATTACTCCGAAGTCCCTTTTGATGTGGTAACCGTGACGATTGGAGTGGAGACTTCGAACTGTCAGTGCAAGGTGTACCTGCATGAACGGGCAGGGCCAAGGTAGGGAGTGCTGCCAGGCTGAGTGAAGATGTCACAGTGGGAAGCAGACATTCGAGGCAACCTTTGCAGGTGGTTCGGAGAGGCACGAGATCAGTTGGAGAGACTAACAGGGTGTGAAATCTTTCCACTTCTCAGGTGTCGTGTGGTTACAAAGAACACATCGGCGCTCTGCTGATCTCTTAGCAATCTTTTATAGGATCTTGGTAACCATGTTCTAACAGGAGTGGATCTTGTGATATGAAATATCAAGGAGGACTCATTAAGGGAGAAGTTAGCTTATTATTGTCCCCGTGTTTTTAGATTGCTAAAGAGTTAATCCCTCTGAACAGTGGCCTCTTACCAACCCAGCTCCCCAAGTTTTTGAATATTCAGGAATTGATTACTTAATAAACATGTTGTGGACAGAGTCACGTTAACTTTCCTCGTCTCACTGGAATTTTGTTCTTCTGACCCTGGTGAGAGCCACCAACTATTTTGTTTGTAATTTTGAACAGAAGATAAAACCTTTTCATATCCATGTCCATAGCAAGGAAGATACTCATGTTCCCACGCTGTAGGGCAAGAAATGCTGTTGTATCCTTGGGAGCCAAGAAAATGTAGTAGAAAGAAAAGAGGAATCAGCCAGACAAAGCTGGGTCCCAAACCTGCCTCTCCCATGTGACTTGGGCAGTTTGTTTCCTGGCTCTAGGTTATGTTCTCTATATTTAAAATGAGGACAATCATGGTTTTGTGTAGAGTTGTTATGAATATTAAATGAGATAATGTATAACCCTGACGGATGGTTAATAAATATTAGTTCCCTTTCCTACATTTATAGGAGACATGACTTGCTTAGCAAGATAACTCTTAGTGTACCAACCAAAGTACTGGGAAACAGAAGTGAAAATACTTATTTCACATTTTAGGTTTCTTGTGAAATTATACAGACAAATTACAGGCATTTAACATTGATGTATGAATTCGTTTGGGCTGAATCGACGTTTTTCTCTCCAGCTTTGCCAACTACCCTCTGGGCTTAGGAACGAACAGAATCTCAATGCTTGTGGTGGATGAATCTCCGGCCCACGGTGAGACCCTGATCACGTACAAACTCACCATCTATCGAGAAGACCGCCCAAGTCTGCCCTTGTTTGAGGACTTTATGGCGTGCGGTTTTGTGCAGGTAAGTGAATTTTACATTTGCACTTGGATTGACTTGGAAGTGATATAACCCAGGTGAAAAATGCCAAATGAAAATTGTTGGGGGGAAAAGTATGTCTTTCAATCCAAACTGTGGTCTCATTTCAGAAAAGCAGGAGCCTCGGCCAGGTATCTAAGATACCCTTTTATGAGTGGTTTTCTTTTTAGTGGGTGGCTCCTCCCAGCACTGACTGAATTCAGTGGATCTATTGTGGTTAATATGAAAAAGTCTGAGTACTCACACTTAGTTATGAAATTGGTTTTATATTTCCCTTTTAAATTGTGCTGTGTTTCTTGGATTTGTCCCTGGATCTACTTTGAAATTTTAAACTACTTTCGGCAGAAATTATTTTAAAGAATGAGAGGAAAATTTATGGAACTATTTTACAGATGGGATACCCAATGAATGAGATTAAATTTGCTTGGGTAGATATATTTCGAATCCACTTCTCATGCCTTGATCGTTCCGAAAAGCTGTAGTTTCTCTTGTGAGCAACACATCCTATGTTGTAATGTAGCCTATTGATTTTGGAGGAGGTAAACATTGCCCAGAGACTTTGTCTTGTTTGATGATTCTCTCCTCTGTCTTTCCCCCCTTTTTTGGATTCTGTGTATAAACTTCTACATTTCCTCACATCATATACCCTCCCTATGGGTGATTCTAGGGAAGTAATAATTGGTACTATTATCATATGTACTAACCCACTCAGCAAGTATAATTAAATGCATCATGTCACAGGGATTTTTTTATGCCACTTGGAACATTGAAAGCACAGAAGGTCAGTAAGAGAATAATGGCTTGCAAGGACTCAGTGAGTGGTATGTATCTACCATGTTTTCTTGCATGTAGTGGCCAAGTACAGTATCCTCCCCTCTCTACTCACCACCATCACAGTCTCATCTATTCCCCAGGGTTTAATACTATTTTCTAAGGGTGCCCATCACTGAGATGGATATTTTTCAAAGAAACACATATCTTTAACTTATGAACTACCACCAACTCAACGGGGTTTTCACATTGGCCTAAAAATTGCTCTAAAACAGGCAGGACGGAACCATTATTCTGAAAGATAGTAACAGGTGAACTTACAAGGTGGAAAAGATTAGGGTCCATGCTACATACATTTATGAAGCAATGGCTAAGAAAAGCAAGTTGGTTTCTTTATGGTGGGACTTCCCTGCCCTTTTCCTACACTGATTGAAATGGCAGATCTTCCAAAGGAGAAGCTACAGTGTGTAGCATTTCCAAACCTATTGGACATCCTCTCTGTGCAATAGCTACTGAATATGCTTCTGTGCAAAACTGGGCTAGACTATGGAGACAACTGGAAAACATGTACCACTCTTCAGTTTGCTTTACTTGAGGGGTTACCCTTTCGAGTCAAAGAGAGTGAAGTATTACAAGCAGGTGCCATTGTCCTTCAGAGAGTGGTGTTGGCCTGGTCTGCCGGCAGGAAGAACTGCCCGAGGAAGTGAAGTGGGGAGAAGCCCCCTCTACACAAACCCAGAATCCTTAGGTGGGGTGAGTGGGGGCAAGAGGTGACCATGGAGATTGGCTGCCAGACCACTAGGTAACTCCTTGGTCTGTTGGTGCCATCTGCTATTATTTTTTCTGACATTTGCAACTTGCCATGATCTAGGGCCGTGGTCGGCAAACTGCGGCTCGCGAGCCACATGTGGCTTTTTGGCCCCTTGAGTGTGGCTCTTCCTAAGACATAGGAGTACCCTAATTAAGTTAATAACAATATACCTACCTACATAGTTTAAGTTTAAAAAATTTGGCTCTCAAAAGAAATTTCAATTGTTGTACTGTTGATATTTGGCTCTGTTGACTAATGAGTTTGCCGACCACTGGGCTAGGGGAAAAGGAATCAAGAAAAATTGTCAGGAACTGATATAAAAAGGCACAAGATCTCTTAGTATGAGTTGTCTTTGTAATAGCTCAAAGCTGTAAACAATTCAATAAGAAAAGGGATAAACCAATTTAACATAATATTATTGAGACATCTGTGTGTATTAATACACACAAAAATGGAAGAATCTTCAGAACACTATGTTGAGAAAAAGAAGCCAGACATAAGACATACTGTATTACATTTATATGAAGTGTAAGAACGGATAAAACTAACTTACGGTGATAGAAATCAAAATAGCAGTTACCTAGAAGGTATGGGTACCTCTAAGCATGTGTGAATTTTGGGGGCAAATATCTTAACTGGGTGGGGTGGTTATATAGCTCCCCAAAACCACTTGGTATGTAGGTATATACAAATGTAATTAATTAACTATTATCTTAAGGTTTCTGTAACTTACTGTATGTAAAATACATAAAATGTATTTGGCTATTATAAATTATCTATTAGGATATAAATTATACCTTAACAATGTAAGATAAAAGCATTAATGGGGAAGTAGCTATTATTTTCCAAGATATGTCTCCATTCTCGTACAATATATTAAGACCAGTTAATTACCATGCTATTACGTTAGACAGTAGATTGTATTAGGCATTTGTTACTATGATCTCAAGAAAAATATTAGAATTTTTTGTGTGAGATGTGTCCTACAGGTGATTGAAGGAAAGTATTTCAGTCATGTATAAGAATAATTTCCAGGCCTTAGTTCAAAGATTTTTGTGTGGCTCCCCGGCAGTACTGTATTCTATAACATGGAAAGATGTCTAATAAGCATTAGTATTTTTTAGCCTTCCTTTCATAAACTTTCAAATGACTGAACAGATAATGAATAAATAATGTAGATTACTGTAGCCCCTTCCTCAGGGACTGGGAGACGTCAGTTGCAGAGGTTTTCTCACCGGACACTCCAGTTAAAATCCTAATGCAGAGACCTTTTCCTTATTTCTCCTTTAGGTTTACTTTCATTCGTCTGTAGGTTTCACTGCAAGTTGATACCATGTTGAAGTTTAGAATACAAAGCGTGAGGGATCAAAGCCCCTACCTCCCATCACTTCTTAGGTATTCCAGAATTTCCATTGACATTAATAGCTAACTAGATATGAATTATGAGACTTAAAAACTTTTGGTCTTCAGAATTGTCGTTTTTCTTTTCTGTCAGCATCCACAGTGCCTTCCTTCATTGTATTCCTAAGGCTGAAGTCCAGAGTCAACTATTGCAGATAAGTGATAGGCTGTTCTAGTGCGATCTCCAAAACCTTACGTGGAACCTAAAAGGAAATGAATTAAACTGTAATTATATTTTATCTGTTGGTTAAGGGGGAAAATTACAATTCCTCCTTACATTTCAAATTAGATTTTGGTCTAACGGGCTCAATTATTAAATTTTAAACAAATGTAAGAAGCAATCTGCCTTCAACTGGCCAAAAAGGAGACTCTAATTTGTGGTTAATCAGCTTCTTAATTTCTCCTTCCCTCATTCTCTCAACTTCTTTCTGAATGCCAATTATTCACTTGATCCTCTCACCAAAGACTGATAGTGAAGAGAAAGCAAATACAGGCTTACCAGTCAATTAAAAAAATCAATTACTATGACTTTTTGGTGAATAATAGGCTAATTTAATTAATTTGTTAATAGACATTGTCTCCTTTATGTGCTCAAACATTGTTAAGTGCCTACTTAGCCATAAATAACTATTTAGTTTAGAGACTGTTTCTATTATATCATCAATTGGAATGTATATGGTTGTCACAGAGGCAACTCTTGGTTATGTTAGTACCAGCGAGGGAAAAGGAGCTAATTTACTTGACTTACATAAAACAACCAGATTTGGAAAAGGTTTCTCAACCTTGGCACTATTGATAGCGGGGCTGGATAATTCTGTGTTTTGGGGAGCTATGCTGTACATTGTAGGATGTTTATTTAACAGCATCCCTGGCCTCTACCCTCTAGATCCCAGTAGTACGCCCCTCTCCAAGTGGTGACAATCCACAATGTCCTCTCAGAGGTGAAATCAATCCCAGTTGAGAATCACTGATAGAGACCAATGAGAGGTCCTATTTTTCTACTTCTATTAGGAATTCTGTAGTGGTATGAGTTATTTAGAGGTAATCCTTCAATGTTAAATGTTGAAGAGGCAGCCCTCCTATCTTTTTCTCATTAGTGATACTACTCTGATGTTCTTTATTCTGCTTATTAATGGGCCTTCTTTTCTGGCTAATGTAATTATTCTAATCAGAAATAGGCATTCATTTATAGAAAATATGACTCTTAATAAAATGTTAAAAAGCCATATAAGATACATAAACTGTTATTTTATTTTGATTTATCCAAGTAGCATAATGTTTTGCTCTTAGAAAGAAAGATTTAGAAAGTAATAAACTGCTATTATGGCTGGGATATATCATGCTTAGGAATTAATAAAATATATTTATGTTCTAAGGAAATTAAGATACTAGGAGGAAATATTTCTTTTAATATCTCTGTCTAAATAAAAAAATTACATGGATAATAATATAGCATCCACAGATGTTGATTTCCATAGATGATCTATGGTCTCATATGTAATTTGCCCCAAAAGTGTTTTGCCAAAATAAAGCCATAAATAAAAACTACATCATATAGCAGAAGTATAGGAGAATATGCTTCATGGATTCATTTCTAGAAACAGCTTTCATTTTAAAATAAATTGCTATTAATAAAAGGAAGATACCAAGGAAAGAGAAAATGCCAAGACTTGAAGAAAAGTCTTGTCCAGCATTTAGTGACTCATCTAAAATGGGCATTTGCTGCTTTCTTTAAAAAATAATTAGCGATCTAGATGCTGAGTTATTAAATGATGTGTGAATGGCTCCAGTTCTAGCATTTGGAAAACCTTTACAGTTTTCCCACTTATTTTTTGCACCTTTCCAACACCACAGAGGACTATTACCAAACAACTCAAGTTATAGTTGCCTAATATGTTAGCAAATATCTATAATGAAAGAACAGAAAACCTTTTATCAATAATTACTGAATAAATAGATATGTTTGCTTCTAAAGTTATAATATCAATGCTATACTCATTTT